GGATTCCATTTGTTTCCTATGTTGGGATTCCATCATGTTCCTGAGCTCCTGTCTAGATTAATTAATCATGTCTTGTACTATGAGCACAATCTCTGCTGTTATCTGAGAAATTATTTCTGATTTCATTTTTTCTAGATCCTCTTTTGTTGCCAGTTCAGGGTTGAGTATCAGAGTGTTCCATCTTGTTTCCCTTTGGGCTTGCTGTAGGTGATCTGGAAGTCTGGTTTTGAGACTTGTTTACGTGTCTTCTCATTTTGGTGGGGTGGGGGGTTGCTGCTGGCACCGATGTGGCTCAACTCCTGTGTGCCGGCGGGGGTGGTGCGGCAGCCTGGAAGCCTCCTCTTGTACGCTGGGAGTGGCTCACCTCCTGTGTGCTGGCAGGGGTCTCTTTTTATACTCTTGACAATGTCTTTTGTAGAGCCAAGCATTTTAAATGATGGTGTTCAGACCTGACAAGGCTGTGTTGCTTATACTGAGCATTTTCATATATTACCATAGCTTAAAAATTGCTTAATTTTTGAGATGTAATTAGGGTTATATGTATTAAAAGTCTTCAAAATACACATTCTCCTAAATTGATGCTTCTTAATGCAGGAGGAGGGCAATTTTACCCTCCAGGGGATATTTGCCATGTTGGGATATCCTTAGTTTCACCACTGGGTTGGGGAGGCTGCTGTTACTAGTAGGTAGAGGCCAGGGTTGCTACTAAATGTCCTATAAGGCAAACGGCAGCTATCACTATAAACTGTCTGGCTCAAAATATCAGTGGTACCAAGACTGAGAAAATGTCAGAGGTACAGGCATTCTGCTTTAATTTACCCAAATTTAACAAAACAGATTTAAAAATTTATTCATTTAATATTTGGGGGAGAACAATATCAGTAGCTACAACAATTGCAATGTATATACCCCGTATCTGTGATTTTTCATAAATAACTAATTTTTGCACATTTGCAACAAAAGGCACATGCACAGATAGTCTTTGGGTGATTATTTCTAATTGCACAGTTTGGGAAGCAACCTAAATGTCCACCAGTGGGGTAGTGCTTAATGTACATGTATGCTCTGCATGGTACAGTGTTTGGCCATTTGACCTCCTCCTGTTCTCTTTCTGTGATCTCATCTTCCTTTGAGATGGCCTTCTTTTCTAGAGATAGCTGGTATAAGAATAATTCTCAGGATCCTCATGCTGTCTTTTGCTAGTTTGGAAACTGGAAAGAACTCTGATCCTTTCTGTCCTGCCCCTTGGTTGAACCAGGAGGAAGTTTGTGGTCTAAATTTGGCCAGTCAGATGAAATTTTGAATCTTGATCAAAAGCAGAGCCAAAGAGATCATTGAAGATTAAGTCATTGAGTAGTAAGAGATACAAGTGTCTATGGGACAGAAGGAAGCTGCTACCTGGCCTTATAATTCTTGCTAAGTGACAGAACTGAGCCTCTATTACTTACTGTACCAGAAAAGCTTTGGATTAAGTTATTAAAATGATTAGTGAGACAGTTAATTATTTAATTCAGGAAAGAATAAATAAGAAATATCTGAGACATCTGGAGACTTTCCCAAAAACATATGCTGTATAAAGTTAATACAATATAATACTTGGGGTTAATTGAGCAATTTCCTGAGCTTTTATAAATCATTAGAATGAATTCAAGTAGTGGAAACATTTCAATGGAAAAAAATTAGTGAATTGTCCCTGCAGCAATAAACTGGCCTCAGTCCAATAAATAGATACATTATATCTCTGTAAATTGCAAAGTATCATAATTGATACGCTGGAGAATTATATGCAGGAATTAAAAAGAAAGCACATCAAAACATATGAGGAAGTAGAACATCAATTGCAGAACATTTATTCATTAGTGAACTTACTATTTACTAGTCTCTGTATGCTGAACAGGACAAATCTGGTTCTTGCCCTCATAGAACTCTATTTAAAATAGTAAAATATTGGATAAATTGTTTAACAGTGAATATTAGTATAGGGCATGCATTATATGCATTCACTGCCATTAAAATAATGATTTTAATGATAGTAAATTAAGTAAAATTAGGTAAAATAATGAGCATATATGTATATAAACATAGTAAGAGTACAATAAGAGAATAAATGAAAATTGATATATATAAATACATACACAGAATGAAATAATGCTTTCTTAATTGCATATGACCCAAAGGAGATATACTAAAATACTGACAGGACTCACCTCTGAATGATAGAATTTCATATTTTTTATTTTCTAAATTTTGGCGATTTGCATGTTTTATAATTATAAAATTTGTTATTTATAATTATACAATTGTTTAAGATAAATTGAGAGTAAAACATTTGAACATTTTAAATCTCATTTTATACTTAAACATATTTTCAAAATGTTCCATGATAAGAATATACTAGCTATATAAGCAGATGTGTACATATCATACATAAAACACATGAGTAAATAAAAACTCATCTTCCTTTACTCCAGACTCCTAGTCAAGTCAGAAGAATCAAGGGTATGCTGCCATGAATCTAACTTTGCTGATACCTGACTTTTAGATGTTACAGAATGGACCAAGAGAAATTTGGGGGCTGATATCTCTACCAATGCCAGGATGGGAAGAGATAGCAAATTTCTGGTTGGGTCAGCTGAGACACGTGATGTGTATCAGAGAGATGACTGCATTTCTGGCCTATGGAAGAATCTTTGAGGATCTCTCCATCTATAAGCACCTGGTCTTAAATCATGTGTAAATGTATTAATAATAGGATGTGTGGAGCTTCTAATACAATCTCTTTTGTTTGGGGGCAGGCAAGTTGGTGCCTCCACTTGACATAAAGCTGGGCGCATTGAACTGTACAGCTTTCAGCATCAAGTGGAAAATGCCACGGTCTCCTGGAAGCCCAATAATGGGCTACACGGTGAGTACATGGGCGTGGTGTGCAGGGGTGACTACATCCTTCCTGTCCCAGTACCTTCGATATCATATTTAATATCCCTTATCCAAAATGCTTGGGATCAGAAATGCTTTCAATTTTGAAATATTTACAAATACATAATGAGATATCTTGAGGATGGAAATGACCCAGTATAAACACAATATTTTTTTGTTTCGTATATGCCTTATATGCCTAACCTGAGGGAATTTTATACAATATTGTTAGCACTCCTGTGTTTTGACTGTGACCCATCGCATGAAGTCCTGTGTGAAATTTTCTACTTTTGGTGTTGAGACTCAAAAAGTTTCAGATTTTAAAGCATTTCAGACTTTGAAATTTTGAATTATGTTTGGTCAACCTGTCTGTGAGCTCCTTATATCAGTCCTTCCATATGAACAGCTACCCCATTCTCCTTTGGTAAAACTATAAGAAGTGTTTTCGGGCATTTGTAAGAGCTCTGAACACGCCACCTGCATTCATTAATTAGGATCTTTTCTGTACAGCAGTGGGAAAATATAAAGCAAATAGAAGATACAGCTTCTACTTTCTAGTTGCCCATAGCCAAATTTAGAGAATAATACAGAAACATGGAAAATCATAGGATGTCACTATGGAATGTTGTCAATAAGTAATAAATAATATAAGATTTGAATTAAAGGAGTGGATAGGTAAAGTGGAGGAAAGAACAGAGAAGCATTCTTACCATCACAGCCTGCAAATTGGGCAGATTTTAGTGCACCAAAGTTTTCTTTGGACAGTAATTTTAGAAACAAGTCAGATTTTAGAAGTTAGTACATGTCTGATAAATATTTGGCTCTCTGAAATCTTGGGAGAATGGGGAGACTTGGCCACACTGAGCCCACATTTCTAGGAGCACCCTGCCTTTTGTAGCTGAACTCCCGTATGAGATGGGAACAAAGCCCTTCATAACACACAAGTTCCACCACTCCCTACTATCTGCACTTCACCAAGAGACAGCAGCCCTTGGTTCTGGACTCATGTCATATCACACGTGGGGAACCATGAGAGGAAGTGAGTCCGCACTCTTCATCCGCCTTCACAGATACGGGTCTTCCCCTAGGCCTCTGTAGGCTTCGGGGCTTGTGATCCCACCAGGTATATCGGATGTTCATTCCCTCCCAACTAGTGTGTGGGGTGGGATGGTCCAGTTCAGAAACACCACCTTTGTGGGTGTAACTTGAACCTTTGATTTAGAGACGTATTGGCTCTGTTCTCACCAGACTTTCTGTGTCTTTTCAAGGTCTTTTACTCTGAGGTCGGTGCAGATAAGTCCCTGTGGGAGCAGTCACACAGTGTGCCACTCAGCTGGGACACCCCAAGCACTGTGAGTATCTCCATGCTGGCAGCCCCCTCCAAAGCACCTGGACCTTTAGCATTTCAGGGAAACTCAGATGGATCTCTAAATTGGTGAAGGTGCTTCCTTCTGCATAATAATAACATTTACGAAGTCCTTTAGAATTTCTAGACATCTTGCATGTACACAGCCTCTGTGACCTGCCTTTTCTCTCTCGGGAAAGGTAGACATGTGATGAAAGGGTCCTGGCATAAATGCTTCTATTCCAGGCGTAATCTCATTTTGCCAGATGAGGAAAGAGCCACCATGTGACTATTATTTTCCTCTTAAAGTTTAATTCTGATTTTTTTTTGAAATCCCAATAAAGCTTTATAAATAAATATGACACATTTGTATCTTCCCAACTACCTGGAGACACAATGCAGAAGAAAAAGATGTAATTTGAAATATATATTCAAACAATCCAAGTTATTTATTTTCCTTTTCAAGCTCAGTACCAATTGTCAGCTTCTCCTCTCTTTTCTGTTTTCTGTCAAGGCCTCTCTGGGTCAATGTTTTTTGCCTTCAGTACTTTCTGGCTTCTTTTCTTTTACTCTCCCCTTCCCTGCTCTGCTGGTATAGCTCCAGGCTAGAGCTTTTCCGCTGGCCCATAACACTTATCGAACTGGTGGTAGCAGTAGTGATGTGCCTGTAGGTGCAGTGCAGTCTGAAAACTATTTGTCATCTTTTAGAAGTGGCTCTTACTTTTTTAAGTGTGTCACCTGCCAAGACTATCCCTCATGCTTTACGTTTGTTTTGCCATTTATTCTTCACAACCGTCTTATGACCTCATTCTGTTGACAGGGATGCTGAGACTCAGGGAGGTGAAGTAACTTATCCAAATCATATATTAGTAAGAGACAGATCTGACGGTAACCCCAGGGCTGACACTTTTGAACCCTTACCCTACCTAGTTTTACCAAAGCTCTCGTGACCTGAAAACAGTCGATGCACATTTGCACCCTGCTTGTATGGCATGCTTTTAATCTTAAACTAGATATTTCTCTTGCACAAGCTTGCTAGTTTCAGAAACCCTCAGTCCCAGCCCTGTGGTTTACTCAAGCCTAAGAGGGGAAAATTGGGTTGACCTCAACTGGAAAAACATGGATTTGAGGTTCCCTGTCCCCTTGACAGTCTTGGAACTTTGCACAAGTCCACTGGACCCACCAAGGGCCAGCATCATCCCTAGCAGTGTCCCCAAGGGGCTCACAGCTCTTCCTGGAGCACAATCCAGGTATGGAGGACACAGTGCTGGTGGCTTGAAATCTGGACAGTGCTTTTGAAACAGGGAGCCTGCCCTTCACATAGGACCTGGGCCAAAAGTTGGTGTATCTGTAAAGGTTACCACAGGACAGACCGAAAGCAGAGGGCCAGAAAGGAGACCAGTGCACTGGGCTTCTGTGCTCACTTCTTCCTCTTGCAGGTTGGAACTTCACCCAGTCACTGGACTTATCTAAGCTTCAGCTTTCTCCCTTGTCAGGAATATTATAATTAGACTGCTATGAGAACCAAATAAAATCATGCAGGTAAAGCCTTTCATAAAATTTAAAAGCCATGTAGATGATAGTTATCGTTTCTGATTACTTTTATGTTAAATATATTCTGTTAATTACATCCAAGCATTAGAGTATGTTATCAAATTCTAGCATTTGATCATCGTGCTGATTTCAGCAGACTGCCATAGCAGCTTCCTTATGTCCAGCACTAGATAACACACAGCCCCTGTTTTGGGGCAACATTCAGTCTCATTGGAAAAAACCACATATACACTGATAGAATTGTTAGAGAACATTGCAAGACCAGATGTCATTAACATGCCATCTGATAGATAAACAGGTTTGGAAGAGGTAGAGATGAGTATGGGAACAAGTAAATGGTCAAGAGGTAAAACTTGGGGCTAGAAATTGAGGCAGAAAACTTTCTAGAAAGTCATACTCAAAGGAGGGGCATCCCAATGGGAGGGAATGGTTTGAACCCACGAATGAACATGCATCTGTGTTCACATGCCTGTGTTCACATGTATGTTTGGGCAAAGGTGGGAAGGGTTACAGAATATACTGGACAGAGAAAGAAAAGATAACATAAATTCAGTGAGACAGGAAGCTAGAAAGGAAAGGTTGGCATTACAGAATGGCTCTGGGCTCAGACTGTGTTTTTAGATTCCTTCATTACAACAAACCAGCTGGATAACCTTTCTGAATATCAAATTCTCATCAACAAAATAGGGATATTAATACTATCTATGCCACAGGTAGTGTACCTGTGCTTCCCAAACCCTGTGCCAGGGTGCCTCAGGGCTCTGCAGCAGTCTGACAGAGGCATCATGGAATACTTACAACTTCCAAGAAGAAACAGCAACATTTGTGTAAACTACTAATAACAAGTTATTTGGATATAACTACTTAATAAATAGAACTCAGGCATTTCTTTTGGACTAGAGATGCTATAAAAAAGGTTTCTGAGGACATAAGTATGCCATGAACAAAGTTTGGGAGACTTAATCTCTAGCATATCATCTCTATCGTATAGATGTTGAGTATTCAGAGTCAGTGGTTGTAGAACCTTCAGTGTAACATCTGGCCTGAAATAAGAACTGAGTAATGATTGATAAAATGCATATTATAAAAATATGTTTGCTGCTATTGACTTTCAGGCTAGAGGAAGGGCAGGTACTCTGTGGATTCATTTTAGTCCTGCAAATTTGCTTTTATTATTCATGTCTCTTTCGTTTTGTTTGTTTGTTTTCCCCTCTCCAGGGACCATCTGGCCATCAGGCAATTTTTGTAAGTATGTTTTAGAAGAGTTTACTCCTTATCCCTGCCCAGGATTTGGTGGGCGGGGTCTCTTTTCATAAAAATGTTAATTTTCCTGTATTTCTCTTGGCTCAGTGATAATTGCTTAGTTCTAGTGTAAGGAGACCCTACCAAGTGTGCCAGGTTGAGTTTTAGTCATTTAGAAAGAAGATGCTCTTCTCCTTTTGTATGCTGTTTCATCTCATGTGGTGGAGTGAGGTTAAGAGAAACATCGTTAAAGGCAAAGCAATTTAAGTTCTGTTCCAAGACTAGGTGGAACTCATTGAAAAAGAGGGGAAATATTTAAACCAGTGAGCACCTCCTGGGGTTAATCCCCCTCCTTTTAATCTCTCCTTTCCTTGTTTCCTTTAACAATTCCAGATTGTTTTATCAGCTCGACAGGCCCCATCATCTAAAAATGGTTGATTTGATTTCCCAGACTAAATGCCGGACAAGGTGTTGGGTTCAAAAATGGTTAGTCTGATTAAAATAATAAATTGGCCAAAATAACAGAGCTGGTAATGTGGAATTCCAATGCATTCTTTGCTAATCTGCTTTCTGGATGCTTCTAATTTGCTTAGCATTTTACCTTATCTTTTTTCTTACAAGAATGTCCTACAGGTTTCTTCCTGGAAAACAAAATAGTAAAATAAAGCAAGGCAATTTGAAAATTATTTTAGAGTTAGAAATAGGAAAGGATGCTTAGACTGGTGGTTTCCACACTGTTCGATCATTTATACCATCAGTTAAAACATATTTGAATTCCTAGCAATATATGTATATTTATGTATTTATAAATTATACATATACTGTTATGCTAATATATTACATATATTATAAAATCCCACAGAATTTTAAAGGAGGAGATAAAACAGACGTAGAATGTTCTTCCATTTTCTTCTGGCATCTCAGTAGATTGTCTTGCCTGGAGAGGGAGAGGAGGCACCATCACCCTGTTTTGGAACCTGCTGGTCTGGTTGACCAGAACAGAGATTTGGTTTGGGTCTTATCCAAGGTTAGAGAGAAAAAACCTTCCCAGAAATCAAAAGACTTGCATCTTGTCCTACTCTTGTCACCAGAGTAAGGGTGAGCTTCTCTGAATCTCTCTTTCACTATGAAATGACGGGGTAGACTAACAATAATTCCTAAATGGGGATACTTTGGTCTCTTAGGAGGCTAGAAATAGATGTCATTTTAGTGGAAAAGCATCCAAGATGCTAACTTTCCTGTAATACTCAGGACAAATCCACCCAAATACACTTTTTCCAGCCCCTAAATCTATCCTGTTCCTGCTGCAAAGCCTTGTAAGATGCCTTCTGACTACCCAGCCTTCTGACTACAAGTCCTTCTCCTGTGTGCTGCACAGCCATTAGAGGAAGGATACTTGAAAGATGTTACTTTCATATTTTTCTAGTGCCTTCCATCAAATATTCCTAGGTATCCTCAATAGTCTCTAAGGCAAAGGAAGATCCACCTGACTTGAAGAGTCAACAGCGAAGTTCAATCCAAGTTTAGTGACTACCAAAGACATTTATTTAAGAAGAATGGAAGGATTTTGGTATTGAACCATTGGCCCAGAGAGGCTAAGTGGTACCCTCAAGGACACAACAAATTTGGCAGTAGGACCTGGGTCTCCTAGCTTCTAGTTCAGCAATCTGCTTACTTCATGCCTATTCACAGCTGTGTTCATCTGGACTAGTGAATAGGACAACCTCTAGCTTCATTTCCAAGACAAAATGATCTAGATTCCTAGGAGAAGAAAAAAGTAGCATGTAAGGAAACAGGTGAGATCCAAAATCAGGATCAAAGAAATAAGTTTGGAGTCATTCAATGTAATTTCATAAAGGTGAAAGGTATTTATATAGTAAACAATAGTCCCATCTTTGGGGGGATTCTCTTTTTGTTACCCAGGGTGTTTTTTTGGATTGGGTCATGTATTACCTAGAATATAAGGCTAATAGTCCAGAAAGTCAAAATAGCAGTGATTCTAACAAGATGTGCATGGTTTTCCTCAATGACTCTCTGGATAAAACCAGGGTGGAGCTCTTCTTGTGGCTTCTTGTGTCAGAGACCCCAGCTCCTTCTATCCAACTCTTTGTGCCCTCATCCAGGTGGTCTAGAATGGTTCACTGTCACATCCATATCCTAGCCAATAGATGAAAAGGCCAATGAGCCCCTTCTTTTAAAGGGATAACTAAAAAATTGAACTTAGCATTTTCACTTTTGTCCTGTTGCACAGAATCTAGTCACATGACCATACTCAGGAGGAAAGGAGGCTGGAAGTTTTTGAGTGGTCATAACCCAAGTGAAATATGGGAATTCTACTATGAGCAAGGAACAAAAGGGTACTAGAAGATGACAGTCACCCAGGTCAGACTGTGAATGGAGCGAGTGGTACTGGTCTAGAAGTGAAAAAGGCAATTGAGGATTAGGTGTGCTATATCCAGGAGCCCAGTGATTGGAACAGGCAAGTTGTGGTATGTTTTATGAGGGACACTAGACCCACACTTTCCCCTAAAGGCAGCTATATAAACTCTCTGGATCTAGCTGCATCATCTGTAAGATGGGGTCATCGGACTGACCCCTTAGGGTTTTTGTGAGGTTTAAAAGAGGCGATGGTGTGCCAAGATTTTATAAATTCCAAAATGCAACATAAATGCAGTCTGTTCTAATTATACTGATAGTGAAAGGAAAATTTGTTGTTATGGCCATTGTTATGGCCATGAGTGAGGAAGGAAAGAGGCCTAGGGAACAGCTCATTGATTCAAAGTCCCTGGAGGTTTTCTTGGGCTTTGTGAAAGGACTTGCCTTGCTTTACTCTACTGTACATGTAGATTCACTAGTGGTGTTGGGAAGACAAAGGAGGCAACTTTTGGTGTTGTATTTCAGAAACGGCTACACAAACACATAGCAGGGTTTTGTTTTGTTTTGCTTGTTTAGTTGTCTTTGTTTTTTCAGCAAAACACCCAACTTGGAAAAACAAAAGTGGGAGCAGGAGCTAGGAGCTAGGAAAGGCTGTTCATATTCTCTGGCTTCTGCTCCAAGAAGGCAACTTTTCTTACTCTATTTCTAACTATCTTGTGCAGAAATAAAGTACAAGAGAGAAAACATTCTGTTTTGTTTTCAGACTCCCACAAGGGAGCAAAACAAGATGTGTTTCTTTATTTGGAGAAGAACATGTTTGGCATCATTTCTAGTTTGATGCAGAGCTGAAGTGGTAGTTAGAAGCTAAAGATTTGTGGAATTGTGTGATGTGTTACTGAAAATCCCAAAGGTTTTCACAAGTCATAATATTTTGAGGGACTTCATTTGGGAGGGGAGATGTTAGGGAAAAAATGATAGCTAAATCACTGAGTCCAGTTCCTTTTCTCATGGCCCCAACTACTCAGTCCTCTTAACCCCTCACACTCATTCCAACTGTTGGAGCAAAGATGAAGGAAAAGAGAGACTGGAAACAAATGGCTGCCAGGAGGGTCACCCTCCACCTCTCACCCTGGCCAAGGATAGTGCTAATCTTCCATAACAAGCAGTTTAAATATTTTTAATCTATATAGAAAAATTCTGTAAGTATATTTTTTCTTGGTTTTCAGTGGTACCATTTGCATTTCTGATCCATCAACTTCTATGTTCTGATACATTTAACTTCCATAGGTAAAGTACCAATAATCCAATCTTCTTTATTCATCAATACTATGTTTTATTGATTTAAATATCACTTAATATTTTCCATACAGGTATTATCCAGTTAGAACTCAGGTCTTAGAGTCAAACTGAGCAAGTTTTAATTTTCTATTTTGACACTTACTAAATAGATGTCATTGAACAAATTATGAAATTTTCAGGGCTTTAGTTTTCACCTCTCTAAATGAAGGTGAGAAAGATACCACTTCACAAGAATGAAGGAATTAAATAAGGCTGTGTGTACAAGATACCTTTTTCCTAAGACAGAGAAAACACCTTCACATATGGTAATTAAAGATAGTAAATTTAGTATTGGTGCATAGCTAATATCTACAATAATCGATGAAATCACAGCACCATCCCCACACTGCATACAGCATGGTGACTTCTCAGGCGAAAAGGATCCTAAAGCAAAAGCCTGTGAGGGCACTGAGTTTATTTGAAAGTGTGTTTCTGCTCCATGGGCTGAGCCTGGAGTGGCAGTCGGGAGAGTGTGAGAAGAGCTTCTTAGGTATACCTGAGCCCTCAGATTCTGGACCATTCAACTTGGGAGTTAGTGGTTGGAGTTACCGATGCTGGGATCTGAGACAGAGGTATTGTTTTTGTTTGTCTTGTAACAATATCATAAATTTATTTGGTTTATGGTTCTTAAGGCTGGGAAATCCAAAGGCATGGTACTGATATCTGCACAGCATATAGTGCCTGTGGAAGGTGGAAAAGCAAGAGAGCAAGAGGGGGTCAAACTTGCTCTTATAACTAGCTTACTCTCAATAATTAGCCCACTCTCATGCTAACTAACTCACTTTTAAAATAATGACATTAATCTACTCAGGAGGACTCTGCCCTCATGCCCTCACCTCCTCTTGTTAAGGTTCGTCTCCCAACACTGTTTTGTTGGGAATTAAGGTTCCAGCATGTGTACTTTGGGGGACACCTTCAAAACATAGCAGATGTGATGCTGTTGATTAAGATGGAGGAGTCAGTAGTTAAAACTGGTTTCTTGATGAGGTAATCTGTTTATATGGGTCATCTTGGCTCTTGATTTCTTTCTTTCATTTCACTTCAGTACATTTATTCACTCATCAAAAAGCATTGCATAAGTATTTGCTATATGTCTGATAATACTATGTAAGCTTTGGGATGCCAGAAGAATAAGAACTTGCTTCGTGTCCTCATGTGGATGGGGAGAAGGTGACAAACAGGCAATTACAATATAAGGTGAGTAGTGCTAAGATTGAAGTCCACCAAGGACACCAAGAAAGCATAGAGGAGGGGCACCTAACCAGACTGGGGGCTGGGTTTAGAGAAATGAGGTAATGTCTCAACTGAACTGAGTCATGAAGGATGAGCAGGGTGAGCCAGGCAAGAGTAGGGAGAAGGGCATTGCATGTGGAGGAAGCAGCAGGTTCAAAGGCCCAGAGGCAAGGAATTGAATGGCATAAATATGAGCCCTGCCAACTTCTTAAGTATGACTGTTATGTAGAATGCAAGGAGGGGAGATGACAGGGGATGAAGCTAGAAGGATAAACAGGGGAACACAAATGGACTAGGCTAAGGGGGTGGTAAAGTGGAAAGAGATATGCTCAGATTTGAGTGTTAGGAATATAACTTTACCATAGCAACATGGAATCTGAATTGGAGGTACAAGCAGATTTTGTGGGAGAGGAAGGCAGAGCCCATTGTCTTAATTACAAGGACCTGTAAGGATGAAATGACATAAATTTAAGTGATTTTTTAAAATGGCATCAGCTTCATTGGTAACTGATTGGGTGATGGTTAGGGATCAGAGAGGAACACATAGAGGACAATATAAAGAATTTCAGGCTTGGGTAATTACAGAGAATGCAATGGGTTAAGCCCTATTTCGATAGTGTGACAAAGAATGATTAGTTGAGCTTTGGTTGTGTTGAACTCGAGTGGCATGGTAGCCATTGGGTAGAGTTATTCAAGAGGCAGTCACAAATGCACACCTAGATCAAGAAGCAGGCCAGAGCTAGAGGTGCCGATTTCGGAGGCATGACCATGAAGGTGGTGCCAGCAGGTAAGGGTATAGAAGTGTTTGTCTACAAAAGAGCCAACAGAGGGAAAGAGATTGTAATGGATAAGCTCCTGGGAAAGACCAACAGAAAAAGGGGAATGGATAGAGGATATTGAAAAGCAGCAACAAGAGAAGTAGGAGACCAAGAAGGATCAGAGCCATTGTTTCCAAGGAATCCAAGAGATTTCAGAAGCAACAACAAAATTGAAAGTTGCGAAGGGTCATAGAGACTGAAATAGATGCATTGGATTTACTACACTATTGTTATGGGAACTTTGGTAAGAATATTGCAGTAGGTTTTCAGAGGAGAGAGGCCAAATTGTAAGTTGAAAGGTAACTAGGAGGTGAGGAAGTGGACACAACTTCAAGAAGGTGACCTTTGAAGAGGGGACCAAGTAGTCATGTGAGGTAGGGGAATGACTTTTTTAGGGATGGGAGAGATATGAGCACAGTAAATACAGGAAAATCAGGTAGCTATGGGAGAAGTTGAAGATACATGACAAAGAGAGGAGTGAGAACACACAGGGACCAGGCATGGGAGGTGAGACATGCCCTAGACCTGTGATACAAAACTTGGATGTAGAATCACTGGAAAGTGTTAAGCAGACTCCTGGAAACTGCTCCCAGAGATTCTGATTTAAGTGGTCCGGAGTGGGGCCCAAACATTAGTATTGACTGATTAATTTAGATGTCCAAGTGATTCTAAAATGCAGTCAAGGTTTAAGGACTACTGCATTAAACTTTATTAATTATTTGTTGAATGCTTTCAAAACATACTTTGAATCTCCCACTCTTTAGCAACAATGAATGTTTAGTCATTTGCAGAGGTCATTGTGAAGAAATACATGATTTCTCTTCTCAAGTGACTTACATTCTCATAAGAGAAACAGTAAAAATCCACAGTGCAGATTGAATGTCCCTTCTCTGAAATATTTGAGACCAAAATGTTTCAGATTTCATTCTTTATTTTGTTGTTGGATTTGGGAATATTTGCATGTAGACATACTGAGATATCTTGATGATGGGACCCAAGTCTAAATACAAAATTTATTTTATGTTTCGTGTATACACCTTATACATATAGATTGGATGTAATGTTGTGCAATAGTTTTAGTGCACTTGTGATTTGACTGTGGCCTGTCACAGTCAAATTTTGCGTTCATAGTGTCATGTCAGTGTTCAAGAAGTTTTGAATTTTGGTGTCAGGAAAGTTATATATTATATTATATTATATTATATTATATTATATTATATTATATTATATTTTGGGTGGAATTACTGGATCAGTATGGTCAGGGAAAGTGTCAGGAAGCAGGCTTTGGGGAGTGGATGGGGAACCTTGGTAAGGAGGAGGAGGAGCATCCCCACACACCCACATATCCAAGACAGCAGTCATTACAACCTATTGCTTGAACACATCCTCCATACCAGCTACTATGCACATTACCCTAAACCATATGATCTCACGAGATAGTTGTATGTCATGCCCATTTTATGCAGCAAGAAGCTGAGGCTCAGGGATTTAATATCAAGGCCAAAGCTGGTACTAAGTGGTAAAATCAGGATTCAAGTCCAGGATTTGTTGACTCCCAGCTGGTGTCTTCTCTAGGACAGTGTGCTGCTTCTTCTCACTGATGAAGCCAGGCTCCTACCTACTATTTAACACATCACCTTTAAATTTTTTTGTTTTCTCCTTTGCATAGTACTGTGGCTCAAACCCAGGGCCCCACACATGCTAGGCAAGCACTTTACCACTGAGCAACATCCCCAGCCCAACACACTACCTTTGCTGAAGCTGAAGGTGTCCTCTTCACTGAGGCTTTTAGGTCAGGGATTTTGTACAGGGGACTTCACACATCCATCCACAGTTAACTGTAGTGGTACTCAGTAGGTGGTCACTGGGCCAGCATCACCTGGGCTGGGAACTTACTATAAATGCAAATTATCAAGCCCTTCCCAAGAAATACTAGATCGGGTCCAGGAATTTGTTTTAAGAAAGCCTTTGTGGTGATTCTGAGGCTGTTTACATTTTTTCTTTCTTTATAATTATATGTTTATAATTCAAAATAAGTATATTCATCTTGGCGGTGGGGAATTAGTACAGGTACATATCATACCGTACTCATTTTTACTTCTAGTCCCTACTTTATAAGTACAAATTAAGATGTCAGTTTGAGACATAACTGGTCTCTGAGCATCTGAAGTCTGCTAATTGAAAGAAAAAATGTGGGATTCCTACCCTGGGGAGGATCCTCATCTGCATCCTAAAGTGTTATACTTTGATCAAGGAATTCAGAAGATAGGAGCAACAGTTGATAATGTGAATGAATCCACCTCTGTGGTAGTGTGTAGATTCCAATAAAGAGTGACCCTCCAGTCTTGGAAGATATGCTATATTGTTTTCCTTTCACAAATTTTAAAACTGGGCCAATCCTTTTAGCCAAAGCAAAACAATTTGTGTCCCAGGCAATTTCACAGGGACTTCAAGATGTAAATATTATAGAAATTGTACAGCTTTCTCAAACAGAGCTTGTGACCATTGGCACCTTTCTTGTTTGGTTGTTGACAGGAGGAAGTGATTGGAGATTTGAAGCCGGGCACTGAATATCGAGTGAGCATAGCAGCTTACAGCCAGACTGCCAAAGGGAGGCTTAGTTCTCCTCGGCACATTACCATTTTGTCCCAAGGTAATAGAGGTTCAAATTTATTAATAAGAAAATGACAGGCTGGTATTCATTCATACTTTCATTCAGTAAATATCAGTAGGGAATTACCATGTGCCGGACACTATGCTAGGCTCCAGAAACTTGAGGGTGATCAATGCAAGCACAGTGTTGAGTAGAGTCGAGACATGATCTATTTAGTGTGTAGTCACAGACTATAAGGTATACCCCCCACCCACCATGCTAAAGGAACCTACAGCCTAGGGAGATGAAAACTAAGTGGAGATCTGACAGGTGAGTAGGAATTAAGAAAGCAAGGAAGTGGAGAGAGCATCAGATTTAGCTGGGTGTGGTGGTACAGACCTACAATCCCAGTACTCTAGAAGCTGAGGGTGAGGCAGGAGGATGGCAAGTTAGACATCAGTTTGAGCAATTTAGGGACTTACCAAGACATTATGTCGAGATTTTAAAATTTTTAAAAGGGCTGAGGATGTAGCTCAATGCAAAGGCCCTGGGTTCAATCTTCAGTACAGAGAGAGAGAGAGAGAGAGAGAGAGAGAGAGAGAGAGAAACAGAGAGAGAGAGACAGAGAGAGAGACAGAGAGAGAGACTTCAATTTATAGGCAGAAGGAATCCAACAAACGCTCATTGAAGTGGCACCATAGTGGACAACACTGGGGTACAAATGGGGTTGATGGCAGTCATTACTCAGAAGTACTCTTTGTGTAGGGTTAGGGAATAGTAAGCATCCCCAACCTGAATTACAATAAAATTCTTGGAAGGTGAGGAAAATCTTCTGGGTCTGAGCAAAAGTATGAACAAAAAAATGAGAGGTATGAAAATCTGGACATGAAGACAGTAAGAGGTCAGCGGGATGACAGCCACCTTTACAATGAAGGTGTGACCCCAAATCTCTTTGAATTGCTGTGTATTTTCATTATCATCAGGGGAAAACACAAGCACAAGAGTTGGAAAATAGGTGGTAGTAATGGTAAGCATTTAATTTTCCTTGTAGGTAAATATCAGTTCCAACATGCAGACGAAGATAAAAGGTTGTTAGGAGGTGGGGGTGTGAGGGAAGGGTCTGAGGGGAACACATCACGTGTGTGTCACATTCAGGGGAGCTCACTCCATTAGCTTTCCAGCTGAGGTGCTGGGAGGAGGACGGAAGACAAGCTTTCACTGACTCAAACCTTGTGTGGTGAATGCAGCTGTGACTTTGGGTGTTTGTTTGGTTTGGGTTTTGAAGTCCTTATGAACAGAGAGGTTTGGTTGTGAGAGGCACATGTTTTTTGTGTATTCAGCTTCTCCAGCAGCTGAGACAACCAGCCAAGTCTAGTTGTGTTTGTTGTCCTCCCTAGATCCCTGCCTGCCTCCAGCAGCACCCCAGCGACCTCATGTCCTTGTGGTTTCTGACTCCGGGGTGGCCCTCTCTTGGAAACCTGGAGAGAGTGAAGGAAGCTCCCCCATTCGGTACTATTCTGTGGAATTCATCAGGTAAGTGTGTGCACTGAATTTGGAGACCTCAGCTTTTCTCAAGGTGAACTAAGATGAGAGGGAGAGTCAACTTGAGGCCTCGGCCACATATGTGTTTAAGAGAGCCAATGGCTTGGGAGCCCGCATTTACACTTGGGCCAGCACTTGTCCCCACCCGTCTTTGGTGGCAGGTCATTTGGTAAACCTGTCCCTTCTCACCTCCTCTTCTTTATTTTTCTTCCCCATTGTTCTGAGCCCTGAAAACTCCTGAGGCACCATTACTGGTAACCTTCCCTACATTTCAAGCTTGAACTTTGTCTTTGTGGCTTTAAAACATTTTATCTGAAGTAAATATTTGATAATGACTTTTCTCTGGGAGAGGGAAACTTTAAGACAACAAACACAATGCATTGTTTCTTCTGCATCCATATTTCCTTGGGGCAAGTTTCTTGGTCTGATTTCAGCTTTTTTTTCTTATGTCTACCTCTCCAGTTCTTGTGATTCAGCTTGATAGAAGGGAGAAGAGTGATTAGAAGTTCTTAAGAACTTAGAGATGTAAAAACATTGATTCTAAATGTGCTGTGTAATTTTATTGAAAGGAAATAAGGAAGGGAGGCAGGAAGAGAGGGAGGGAAAAAGGGAGGGAGGGAGGGAATGAAGGCGGGAGGGAGGAGAAAGGTGTACAAAAGGAATTCCCAATCTAAGATCATTCCTCTGAACTGTGGTTGCAGTTTGATTTTGAAGTGAAGCAGTGGCTGATGAGTGAGCCTGAAAACAATGCATGTGGAGTTGGCATTCTCTGCATTAAAGATGATGGGGTTCATAGGAGGCTGCATTATGGATTTATAAAAAGTTTGGTGTAGCACCTCATTCCTGAGGCTCTCTGAAGCTGGGACAAAGGATCCTGGCAGGATCTGATTAGCTCTGCTTCTGTTGCCTGACTTCCTAGCCTTCTCCTTGGTGGTGGAAAACAAACCTGCATGTCTTCAGAACTGAACTGTACTAAGGCTTCTGAGTGCTTTTGAGTACACACCTTGTATCAGGCAGGATTTGTAGAAAGCTTAAAAGGAACAGAGGAGGCAGTAATGTACCAGCTCCTGGGGCTGTAAAGTCCAGTGGCAAATCTAAATTCAGGGAACCCTAGATCTGTGTCACCTTATCAGTCTGTCTCCATCCATCTCTCTTTCTTATTGATTAATTTTCAGATGGACTTTTCCAATAGGTGGCAAAATGTGGAGCAGACGCTCAAGACTTGCAGTGTGCTAGCTTAGCTTCCTGCTGGAATGAGAATAACTACTTCTCCATGGACCCCACAAAATCATGATATTCATTCTAATTAGCCAGGAATTGGTCCCTTTTCATTCTCTGAGTCAGTCACTCAGGCCAGGTGGGGAGAATTTGTGCATTGGTTAAAATCTGATCATATCGCAAGCTTTGAACTGATTGATGGGCTGTTCGGACCTTTAGTGTGTAGACTTAGTGTTCAAGAGGGTTGACTCCTCAAAGGAAAATTGTTATTGGAAAGGGGGCAAATGGATGCCAATCAAGGGAAGGGGAAGGAGAGAAATGGGAAGAGGAGAGGTGAGCGACGTCTACTACAAAGTCCCAGACCAATGTTCTTCCTCGGGGATAATCTGCAATCCCGTATTTGAACAGATCTGGTAGGCAAAGTCTGCAGTGTGCCTAGAAGAGAAAAAGCCCTAACCTGATTTCAGTATTTGTTAAATGTGCAACCCTGAAAGTTTCAAAACTTCAGCTTTCTCATCTGTAAAACTTGAGGGTAAAACTTAACATTCATAATTTACTTAAACAAGTAAATTAGACAACTCTGACAAAGCAAAAAAATGTAATACTTTAAAATTTTGAATAATGCACAGATTTTTTATCATAGACTAGCAGATCATCTGTGTATCCTCAGCAAAGATGGCAATTATCATTTATTATTAATTTTGTGCCCAAACATGTTTCTTTAAAACTTGCTTCTGTGTCTGGTATTATTGACAAATCCAGAAATGGCAGTTTCCTAACCTGTGTGCCCAGCTGAAAGTAGAAGATAAAAGCTTCAATGGGTTCAGAACCAGAAGACCTGGGAGAAAGTGCTGCTTCCTTTGCTCACCAGCCGCATGGCTCTGGGCAAGTCATCCTCCCTCCTGTGTCCCAGTTCTCAGAGCTTGAGTTTCCCTCAAAGCAGATTCTCAGACAAAGACGGAGTATAAGTAGTTTATTTTGAAACAAAAATGAGAGAATAGAGAGAGTGAAACAGGGAAAGAGTACATAGAAGGGACAGAAGAGTGTGTTATAGGTAATGGAGTCTTTGTTGGGGCCTTGATTCCACTGAGATCTCAAGCATCGCTCAGGCTTGAGGGTGGGTGTGGGCGGCAGGAGGTGAGTCTGAACTCTCACAGAATGGTCACAGCACAGCTGCTGCTGAAATCAGAGGTGAGACAAAGGGAAGTGAGATGGGGTCCAGGACCACTGTCCCCAAACTCCCAATTGCAAAACATGGACAGTAACTTCTCTCGACTTATAATGTGTGGTTAGGAGGATCCAATGAGATCACGTATGAGAAGAATCGATGTACACATTTAAAACCTGCAAAGTGTAAGCTACACACGGGCATTATGTACCTGTATTTAATAATCATAATTCCTTCTAGCAAAAATACGTTTTAATATTTAGAACTATTCCTAACATCTGAGGGCTTCAATGCTCAAATTCATATATATATATATTTTTTTTAATTTTTTTTAAATTATACCTCATTCTTACAAACTGTTAATCCTTTTAAATATGCATATAGGGCTGGGGATTTAGCTCAGTGGCGCCACACCTGCCTTGCAAGCGCAAGGTCTGAGTTCAATCTCTGTACCAATAAATAAATAAATAAATATACATACCTTGACAAGGTACCTTCACAATGCCCTGGAATGCTAGCTTCAAGTGTAGAGTTCATGGACTCCTTGGTGTTCCAGATGGAACATGGTTGTACGGGGAAAGCCAGTCCCTGTGACAGTTCTTGTACTAGGAATTCTGCATCTGTTGCTACTAGAATGTACAGTTGCAGTCCAGTTATTTCATCTCAAAACTTCCATATTATCCTCATCAGTACCATCAGGTAAAGGCAGCCCTCACTGTGATTATCACTCAGTCTTTGCAGCACATTTGTGCACAGTAGGCATTGCATATGTGTTTATTTCCTTCCCACCATACCATTTTCCTTTTACAAAAGAGAAAACTCTGACTCAACCACTGGAGTTACTTTGCCACAGTCAAACAACTCATTAGGCATAGAATTAAAATTAGAATTTAATTTTTCTGTCTTCCAGCCCAGTGCTTTTTTATTTTGTCATGAAACTCCATGTGCCTTCATGTCTGTGATCCAGTGTCAGAGACAAAGGCAGGGACACAGCCCACCCGGAAACCGGCAGGCAGAGGGAAGAGGAAGCCTCCTCTCGGGCTGCTCTTGCTGTTCTAAGAAACGCCTCTGTGACTTATTGCTACATTTAATGTTGGGGTGCAGAATAAATCCATCCATAGATATGGCAGAGCCTATCCCATTTCAAGTGAGTGCTTGAGGATGTGTGTTTGGAGAGTGCTTTCCTGGGCTCTGTATAGAAATTGCATTTATACAGTGTGTGCCATGACCTGAATGTTTGTGTCCCTCTTTCCCCAGATTTGTGTGTTGAGGTCCTAACTCCTGAGATGATGATGTTAGGAGACTGGGGCCTCTGTGAGGCCATTAGCTCATGAGGTGGAGCCCTCATGGGTGGGATTAGTGGTCTTATAAAAGAGGCCTGAGAGGTTTCACCTACCTCCCTGCCATGTAAGTACACAGTAAGACAGTGCCATCTGTGAACTAGAAATAAGACCTTCCAGAATCAGGCCCTCACCAGAAACCAAATCTACTGGCACTTGATCTTGGACTTGCCAGCCTCCAGAACTGTAAGAAATTTCTCTTGTTGATGAACAATGGGAGAATTCTTCAAAAATCTCTCCCAAAGTTGGCTCATTAGGTTCTTTGGCAAGAGTAGATTTTTAAATATTTTTAAGCACCATAGAGGAGATTTGAAGAGGCAATTTTTAAGCAAGCCTACAGGCTGTAACACATTTTGTAATGTTTTTGAAACTCAACTGCTTTTTTAAAACAGAAAAGCCATGCATTTGAAGAGAATATTTCTTTTTCTCAAGTGATACTGAAAAGTTCTTTGTGGGCAGCAATGCTCAGTGTTTATTAGAATAAGAACCAAGCATAAATATAGCTACCTATGTTTTGAAATATTTTGGCTATAAATATCTGAGAAATCTCCCTTCCTCTGCCTAAGAATTTCCCTGGAGTAAGTGCTTTTCTCATAAGCAGAAATATATACTATGTGGCAATGAAAACCAAAGGCCTGGAAAAATGTCCCTCATCACTGATGTTCCACTTGGGGTGCCATGCCCCACATATGTGATCCATGGGGTTGGCTAGAAGTGAAAAATAGTTTTCATTTCACTTACATAGTTTTTTGTAGGTATCGCATGATTAGTTAAAACTGCTCTGGAGTTTTGCATTGCCAACTGCTGGAAAGGGCAGATTAAAGCTTTCAATGACTTTCTAATGAAAAGTTCGCTACTAACTTATCTTGGGTACGTATGATAATCCAAAATACAGGATTTCTGGGTACATTTTAGGAACAAAGAACAAGAAATGTTGATCTCTAAATCTCATACTAGACATTTTTACTAACAAATGAAAGGGAGTAATAATTCCCTTCTTAACCCTTTCACATATTTCTGCCTAAATAATTCCCTGGTCCCTTGCAGGTGCCTTCCATAATAAGACTTGAAAAATTCACCTTCATACAGGGCTGTTTCTAGGCAGATTGCAGCTGATTGCTGGTCTCACTTGAGAAATCTCAAGATCATACAATCGGTGGGTATTCAAAATGGTTGTTCACAAATTGATATTTTTGTCAAAAGTCATCTGTCTTTCTATCCATCACAAATTCTTCCTTTAGCTGTAAGTAACAAGTGAATTCAAT